TACTATATAGAATAGCGGCCTGGTGCATGGGTGGGGGCCGGCTGGTTTGCCCTGAAGGGTGTCCTGGATCAGGGTGGGGGTCCCCACTGGGGTGCCTGGCCAGCCTGGATGAGGGGCTGAGGGCTGTTTGCATCTGGTCACACCCCCTTCAGGGTGGGGGTCCCCACTGCGGTGCCTGGCCAGTCTGGGTGAGGGGCTGAGGGCCGTTTTCAGGCTGGCAGGTGACTGAAGCTCCCAACTGCTCCTTTTTTTCTTTTTTTTTTATTCTGGGCCAGCTTTAGCTCTGAGGCTCGGCTCCAGCTATGAGGCCTCCGCTGCTGAAAGCAGGTTTCTGGCCTTTGTTTACCTTCTGTATTTGAAACAATGCTGGCTGAAGCCTGGCTGACTGAAAGGAGGTTTCTGGGGTTTTGTTTAGCTTCTATATTTGTTACAATGGGGTTAGAGAGCAGCTGAGAGGCCGGCAAGGCAGGCGGGGAACCTGGCTTCCTCCGTCACTGAAGCAAGCAAGCATCCCTGTTCACGTCAGCTGCCTGGCTGCCGGCCGCCATCTTGGCTGGCAGTTAATTTGCATAAGGATATGCTGATTAGCCAATGGGAAGGGTAGCGGCGGCCGTATGGCTAATTACCATGTTTCTCTTTTATTAGATAGGATAGGTTTTCACTCTGGTCCATCTCAGGTAAAGAATAATGAAATGTTTTCTGCTTAACATCAGCCTTTAGTGGTACTAAAATACTACTTCATCATAAATTTACATTCGTAAATTTTTTCATTAGGTGCTTGCTGTTTTTAATTAGAAATGGGGCTTACTGACACATTCAGAACTATGAGCTTCTAACTTTGGCTTTTACTAGTAATCTTGCTAGCAGAACAATGAATAAAAGACTTCAGGCATAGACTTGCACTGTGAGTTTTAATTGAAAATATTCGAACAGCTTAGTAATGAATTATAAAACTTTGATAATTAAGTTGTACTACCATTTATGAAGCAAATATTACTTTTGTAGACCTGAAAGAAACTTTGCATACTTGTATTTTCTGTTCTCCATTTCAGAGAAACTATGAAGAGGTCTAAAATATGTACAAGTCAAAGCCCAACCGAGAAGTGAAATATAAAGAGAAAAAAATCTATAACAGCTGTACCGTAGGAGCATAGGTGGTTTTTAGCTCGTGTTTTGGGTGTGAAAATTTAGCTCATCTCACAGGATACAAAAGCAGGTGCAATAATAGAGCTGAATCATGTAAACCCCCGATCAATTATTTTTAGCATGCCTTTTAACTTTCCTTTCCCCTGGTTTCTTGTCTTCTGTGCCTGAGTCTTGAACTGGTAACCACTTGAGGGGGTGCCGGCGATAAATGGGCCATGGAGGAAGTGTCAGCTGAGCCAGAACAGAGAAAATGAATCAGTTGTAGCCACTAAACAGCATTATGTATAATGCCAGGTTCCCAAATGACTCCTACACTAAAGGTAAAACCAACAACCAAATGACATTCGTATGAAAACCATGCCACTGCTCAGACAAGATACTTGAAGTGATGCAAGCCTCACTGTTTACACATATGGCTTTAAGGGCCAAAATAAAGGAGGGGAGGGAGCAGTGTGAAGATCATAAAAAATACTTGGCCCCGCTGGTGTGGCTCAGCGGTTGAGGGACAGACAACCCAGGACCAAGGGGTTACAGGTTTGATTCCAGGTCAGGGCACATGCCCGGGTTGCAGGCTTGATCCCCAGTGTGGGCGTAGCTGATTGATGATGTTTCTATCTCTCTATCCCTCTCCCACCCTCCCTAAAAAATCAATTTAAAAATATTTTTTAAAAATTCCTGCTAGCTTTAACTTTCAGATTATTGCTTGGAGCAGCTGCCAAAATAAAATGAGGTGTATCCTTTTATGCAGCTTTCCTCATCTGACCCTATAGCAAGGGGAAACATTGAAGGAAAAGTTGGCGCTGGTTTTAGGTCCAACCAAAACAACCCACTTCAGACAACACAAGTTGCCACTAATATTCAAACACCCACAGATTTCTTACCAAACACGAAAAAACAAATCCAGCCATAACTATATAGACAGTCCACCCGAACTGTTCAGCCACGTACCCGTAGATAAATCCAACTATCTAGAGACAAAGTATATTGAATACAGTCAGTCTGGGGGGAAGAAGAAGACACACACACACACAAACCCAAACAAACAAAAGATTATGCAAAAGTCAATACTTACTGCTGAAAAAAGAATAATTCCCTGAAACATCTGTTCAGCTAGCTTCTGGCCCTTGTAATCCTAGAGGTGAAGGAAAGCAAAGCAGGATTCGTTCCATCACCGAAGAGATACCATTCCTGCCCTGGTCTCACAGCGTTGGCACCGGGCAACCCAACGTCAGGGGTTCCCCAAGGAAATGCTGGGTTTCCCGGGGGAACGGAAGCACCCTAACGGAGCACGGGCGGGGGAGTTCTCGCGGAGGAAGGGAGGAGGGGAAGAGTGGAAGGCAGGAGTCGGAGCCAGGAACCGCGGTGCAGCGGGTGGGTCTCTCACAGGGACTCCGAAGCTGCCAGCGGGCGAGCGGCGGCGAGGCTGCCGGGGCCGAGGCGGGTCTCACCCTCACCATTTGCGTGGGCAGCGAGCTCAGTTGCTCCAGCATGGCTGGCTGAGGACGCGGGCAGCAGAATGCTGGCGTCTGGGAGCGAGGCGACGGCGTCCGGGAGCGAGGCGACGGCGTCCGGGAGCGAGGCGAAGGCGGCTGCGACTCAGGGGCCGTACGCTTTGGGGACTGGTCCCGGGCACGGCGCGGCGAGCCTCTCGAGCCGGGTGGAGCGATGGCCGCAGCCCCGGAAGCGGATGTTTCACACAGACCCGGCCGGCCCGAGGCCCCGCCCCGCTCCATCGCTAGGCGCCCAGCGCTCACGGGAGCCCGCCGTCCTGCCCGCTGAGGTGGGGACCGCGGCGGCCTAGCCGAGCCATTGCGCGCCGGGGACCGGTTCGCCGTCGGTGCGATCGGGTGCTGGGAACCGCGGCCCCGGCTCCCTACACTGTCCTGCACGGCGCCTCCGCGACTCAACGGCCGCCGGAGCGCGCCCCATCTCCATGGCGACGGGCTTTGTGTGGCGAGGACCCCGGCGCAGGGGCTGCCCGGTGGCGCCTGTTAGGCGGGACTCTCACTGGCCTGGCAGCGGGTGGGCTGGGGCCTGCGGAACGGCGCGGCGGCGAGGAGCCAGCGGGCGGGCGGACTCGGTCGGCAGGGCAGTGACGCAGGCGGCCGGGCGGTGACTGGGCCGGGGCCTGCAGCGCGAGCTGGCGGGGCGGGCCCGGCCGGGCGCGGGCGGCGGCTCCTCCTCCTTCGCTGCAGGTAAGGGTGGCCGCGAGCATCGAAGGGTAACGAACGGCTCGCCCGAATCCGGAGTCTTTCTCTGGGCCTGAGGGGAACCTTGAGAGCGTCACCTCCCCTGGCACCCCTAAGCGTAAGGCGGCCCTTTCGACCCCTAGAATTTAGAAGGGAGCACCCCAGGTCATATCCTCGAAAGGAAATCCCTTCGGAGAGGAGGCCGGGCCCTTGGCTGTCCCTTGCACCGGAGTGGAGAGCTCGCACCCCACAGTCTCCAAGCTGGCCTACCACCGACTTCCCCGGGCCCTCGCGGGAGAGACCAGCCCAGGGTTCTCCCTGCCTCTCTCAAGGCCTGGAGCTGTCTCAGAGCATAGGCCCCTCTCCCGTTTGAGAGAAACCGTTCCGGACCTGCCGGGCTGTGCGCCCCAGCCGGCTCCCAGTCCTCTGTGCGTGGCCTCTGTGCGATGTTGCCCGTCAGGAGCACAGGCGGTGGGGTCCTAGGCGCCCCCAGGGCCGGTTGGTGTGTGGCTGCCGCCCCCCCATTCATGCAGTCAGCAGACATTCACGGCATCCTGTGTTGGGCCAGGCAATGGGCCGAGGATATGGCTGTGACCAACACGAGGCCCTTGCCTTCCTAGCTCCAGAGTGTGCCCAGGGAGACAGCCACGTGCCCCAGAAATACAGGGCAGCAGCGTTTACCCAGAGACAGGGAGGCCGGGGAGACGTGGGAACTCGGGGGAGGTGCAGCTGAAGGTAGGGTTTGGGGGCTCCCTTGACTACTGAAAGCCAAGCAGGCCCCAGCCTGATGAGGTGGGAGAAAACGTATGAATTTCCTTAGTGTTGTCGCACCTTTCAGCCTGGCAGACACTTAACAGGCTTTTTTTGTCTTGTGTAGAAATAGACATATTCCTCTGTGTTACCCCTCTTTAAAGGAACTTAAGAGGGTGGCAGTTGCAGAGACTTTATGGGACAGATCAGACGGGAAAAGGAAATTGCCGGCCAGGCTCCAGGCCAGGCTCCACTTGAGAGAGAGCTCCATGGGAATCCATGCCCTTTCCCGTGATTATCATAAAAGATCGAGCTCCCTTTCTGAGCTGAGAACCACCCTTGTTGCCCCTATGAATAAGATTGATCATTCAACAAGTATTACATGCCTCCTACCGCTTGCCAGATGTGATTTTAGATGGAGAGGATACATCAGTAAATACTTTTCATTGGGGTCGCTTTTCTCTTAGAAGAAATAAACAAATGAAATTTCATAATGGGGGGTGGAGGGGATGGAGAGTAAACTTCCCTGATGGGTAAGAGGACAGAAAAGTGACTGTGGTCTTTGGTGACTTTGATAAGACCAGTTTGAATGGAGCAGTAGGAATAGAAGTCTGGTTGGAGAAGGGCAAGGGGAGAACAAGAGAGGAAGTGGAGCTGGATACTTTAAATCCCTTCAAGCTTTTACAGTGAGGGGATGCAGAGAAATGGATTTGGGGGTCAACTGGGGTGAAGGAATAGTTTCTTTTCTTTTTAATATATTTTATTGATTTTTTTACAGAGAGGAAGGGAGAGGGATAGAGAGTTAGAGACATCGATGAGAGAGAAACATCGATCAGCTGCCTCCTGCACACTCCCTACTGGGGATGTGCCCGCAATCAAGGTACATGCCCTTGACCAGAATCGAACCTGGGACCCTTCAGTCCGCAGGCCGACGCTCTATCCACTGAGCCAAACCGTTTAGGGCTCTTTTCTTTTTTTTTTAAGTGGAAGATACTTGAGCATGATAATACGCTGATGGGTGTGATCCAGCAGAGAGAAAAAGAGTTTGCTGAGGCTGCACTTAGGAGGCAGTTATAGGGTAGCTTACAGAGCATCAGTGGAATGGCTTTTCATGTACGTAGTAATGGGGGAAAGCAGAAAAGACAAGCACAGCTGCTAATGTGAGTACTAATGCAGGTAACCAGCAAGTTAAAAAAGAAAAAGTGTTGCCCTGGCCGAGTGGCTCAGTTGGAGCATTGTCCCCTGTATATTGAAAGGTCGTAGGTTTGATTCTTGGTCAGGGTACATAACAGGTTGTGGGTTTGTTTGGAAGGCAAGTGGTCGATGTTTATCTGCTTCTCTCTCCTCCTCCCTTCTTCTCTTTCTGAAATCAATAAGAACATATCCTTATGTGAGGATTTAAAAAAAGAAAAGTCTTTTGCCCTATTGCCATATTTTTGGGGGTCCTGCCCAGAGTGAGTGTGTATGTGTTTTGTGAGTAAGTTGGGAATGGGAACGTTTAAAAATTTCTAAACAAAAAATATTAATTTTCATTTTGAATATTGCTGATCAAATTGTATATTGTTGTATACTCTTAACAAAAATATAAGCCATTGTTACACATTCCAGGGTCTACGTGCAATTTTGTTTTTAGAATTAATTCCTTCCAACCCAAATCAACAAATCCATCAGCGGGAATAGTGTTACAGAAAAACCGCAGAAGAACTAAGCAACACTTAGAGAGATGGAGTTACATTTATTACGCGCGGGCCCAGAATAAAATGTCTCTCAAATTCTGGGTGAAATCACACAGGAAGTTTCCTGTATTTATACTATCTTACGCTCTTTGTCTCCCCAATATGGGGTTTTTCCAGTTTCCTTTGCAAGTTCTTAAAGGGCCCTATGTGCTGGCACTTTAAGACCTCAACTAAAGGCTTTGCCTGACGCCAGCACTGATAACTTCGTCTGGGGAAGGTTTAATGGCCTCTATGAAATGGGAGTAGTCTTATTTTCCTTATTATTTAAGCCAGCAAGCATTTACAGAAGCCAGAAATAGCAGGATTAAAATTTCAAACAGCAGTTTTTATATAAGATGGATGCTTCAATAGCACCAGGAAAGGAACTAAGAGTCAGACATACTCCATAATACTTGACATTTTGTGAATAGATAATTGTGGAAGAGTTAGGAGCAGTGGTTTCTGCCATGCCATCAAATACTTGCTAGGATTGTTTTTCTTGTGTCTAACCAACTGGAATAGCACAACTACATGCTACCTGTAAGTAACTTGCTGGACATTGTTGAGCTAAATCACTGTGCCTTGTACCATTAACTAGATGAGACTTATTTTATTTTATTAATATATTTTATTGATTTTTTTACAGAGAGGAAGGGAGAGAGACAGAGAGTTAGAAACATCGATGAGAGAGAAACATCCATCAGCTGCCTCCCGCACATCTCCTACTGGGGATGTGCCCGCAACCCAGGCACATGCCCCCCCACCGGAATCGAACCTGGGACCCTTCAGTCCGCAGGCCGACGCTCTATCCAAGGAGCCAAACCGGTTTCGGCAAGATGATGAGACTTATTTTAGTGAGACAGTTTTCTCCAGTCTTGGTGGAAGTTAGGTCCTCGTAAGCAGATGTTAGAGCTTTGTCTGAGCAGCTCCCAGCCTGCCAGCTTCTATAGGAAAGACAGCCCACGTGATAGCAGCACATGGCTTACCGAATCTAGTGATGTATATTCTTTAGAGAGGAAGTTCATTGATATAATGTACTGTATATACCAGTATACCTCTTTAGAAGGAGAGACACAGAGTATTTTAGATTGCTCTTGGGGAGTCTGAATTATTTTCTCCTGAATTTGTAATCAGTCCTGTGATCCCAGTTTTTTTCAACAGTCTTTCAATATATTTCTCCTGTTTTCAAAGGCCTTGAGAAATCAAATGCCTGATATGCACACTGTTTACTTAATGTGTAATTAATTTAAACATACTTTGATTTTAGAAATAATGCTATATTTAAAAATGCTTGTAAAATTAATAGCCTTTTGTAAATGTTAGGTACTGCCATGGGAAAAGATGAAGTAGAAAAGGGTAAAAGTCTCAGCTGTAGTATCACAATATCCTGATTGTTTAAATTCTGTTTTTAATATTAATTAATTAATCCTCACCCGAGGGTAAACACATCCATTGGTTGCTTCCTGCACGCTGGAGAGGAGCCTGCAACCGAGGTATGTGCCCATGACCGAAATCGAATCCGCAGGCCAATGCTCTATCCACTGAGCAAACCAGCTAGGGCTAAAATCTCTTTTTAAAGAAGCATTACCCAGAGATTGTTGTGGAAATCTAATTGTTTAACTTAGTACCACCTACTATCTTGTTTCCATTGAGTTGGGGGTTTTTTTGTGGGTTTTTTTTTTTTTAAGTGAAGGCATGAGATGAGCTGGGGAGCATAAGCTGCAGGGAAGAAGCTATTTTTTTTCTTTTAGCAGATTTTAATTTTTTGAGAATAGTACTCTAAACTTTTTTTATTATCGTTTTGGGATTTTTTTTGTTCTCTGAACTTTTGATAGCAAAATTGGATTTTGTGGGGAAAAAAATTTTTTTAATTGAATCTATTTAAGGAAAGGGGGTAGGGGATGGGATATCCAAAGGGAAGGGCTACACAGTACTGAGCCGAGGGATCATTGGGCTTATGGTGGCAGCACCCAGGAGCTGGAGTTTCAGAGAGGAAAAGAGAGGGAGAGAGTGATAGAAACATCAATGATGTGAGAGAATCATTGATCGGCTGCAGGTACCATACTGGGGATGGAGCCTGAAACCCGGCATGTGCCCTAACTGGGAATCGAATCGGTGACCTCCCAGTGCATGGGACAACGCTCAACCAACTAAGCCACACCAGCTGGGACATGAATTTTTATTATGTTTTTGTTTTTTTCTGCAATAGTTTTAAATGAATATGAAAAATGTTCTTTTTCCCCTCTTTAATTCCAATGAAAGGTGAATGAGATACAACTCAGAACAGGGATGTTTTGTACTGATGAGGCTGACCTCAGGCTACTTGATCAAAGACAACTGAGCCCCTATAATTTTTTGTTGTTGTTAATTTTCACTTGAGGATATTTTTTCCATTGATTTTTAGAGAGATTGGAAGGGAGGGAGGGTGAGAGAGACACATCGATTGGTTGCCTCCTGCATGTCCAACTGGGGCCAAGGGTCAAACCTGGCCCTTGAATGGGAATCGAACCCAAGACCCTTCGGTGTGGGGGCTAATGCTCTAATCACTTAGCAACACTGGCCAGGACTCCCTGTGAAATTTAACAAGGAATTTCAAGTAGAAATTCATACTATACTTTCCAGGGTGGTTAGACCCCAGCTAGTCCTCTTGGTAGAATTTCTTTGTTTTTCATCTAGAGGTATATAATGTACAAGGTTACCTTATTTTTACAATTATTTGGAAGTATTTTATTATGACTACCATAAAAAATTCAGATCCCAAATTGGGTTCTTGGAAACTGAGTTTCTAGCAGAAGGTATGCAATTCTTGTTTCTATCTGAATAAAAGTATTTAGGCATTTTGATGGCCTTTCTTCTGTACCTGCTGAATTTGGGGGCTTCTTTTTGTTTTGTAGGATTAATAACTAATATTTATGTAAGACAGAAGAGGAAGATGTCATTCCGTAAAGGTATGCTCTTTCTACGAGTTGTTTTTATTCCTGATCACAAGGTAAAGAGATATAATGCAGGCTTTCCCTCTGTGTTTCAGTAAACATCATCATCCTGGTCCTGGCTGTTGTTTTCTTCTTACTGGTTTTGCACCATAACTTCCTTGGCCTGAGCAGTTTGCTAAGGAATGAGGTTTCAGGTATGCGAACCCTTGGCATCTGTTGAGCTGGAGTTACCTGAGTCCCACATCCTAAGTATGTCATGAGGTGAAAGGAAAAGAAACCTTTCTTGGCCTTATAAAAACTAAAGGCCCTGCCGAAACCGGTTTGGCTCAGTGGATAGAGCGTCGGCCTGCGGACTGAAGGGTCCCGGGTTCAATTCCAGTCAAGGGCATGTACCTGGGTTGCGGGCACATCCCCAGTAGGAGATGTGCAGGAGGCAGCTGATCGATGTTTCTCTCTCATCGATGTTTTTGACTCTCTGTCTCTCTCCCTTCCTCTCTGTGGAAAATCAATAAAATATATTTAACAAAACAAAAAAAACTAAAGGCCCTGGGTTAAGGTCTGGTGGTACTCACTGTGCTCTTGTAGCCTTCCCTTTCCACCTCTTCTCCCTTCTGTGCGTTTGTTTGCTAAGGATTTGATCTGACAAGATCCTTTACCAAATCAGAGGCCAGAAAAGAGTCTCTGTGGGCGGCTTCTATTTGCTCACATTTCAGCAGCGCAGGGCCTCAGAAGGTGGGGCCAGTGAGTGTCAGATGTTTCATGCCTGCTGTGTTCACTAGAGCAGCCGTCGCCAGCCTTTTGGACCTCATGGACCACCGGTTGGCAACCGCTGCACTCGAGTGTCAGTCTGGTTACTTCCCTTCTCCTGTTACTTTCCTATAACCTGTGAACTGTATCAGCAGGACTCTAGTAGTAAAACAAAACCATAAAGCCATCAACCGATCTTAAAAATCACTTTATTATATAATTCCATTGCTAGATACTTAAAATTAGTTGTTTAAGCTGCTCTGCCTTGGTATTGAGGCATGTTTGAAGCTTCAGAGTATTTGTTAAAAATCAATTTTGGATTGCCACACACCAGTTGACCAGAGCAAGAAAAAACTAATAGCTTTCCTGCATGTTCTGACAGCATGTTTTATAACAGTGTGTATATACATGTGTATGTATTTATATGTGTATATATATATATATGGGGTGGGCAGAAGTAGGGTTACAGTTGTGAGTACATGAAACAGAGTTTATTCTTATTGTATTATTTTCCATATGAACAACTGTAAACCTCTTTTTGCCCACCCCTGTATGCACGTAAAGTATTGGCTGCTTCTCATAGGAACTTTTATAAAAAAGAAAATAGCACTCAAGCTCCATGAGGGCATTTTGTTTACTGCTTTATCTCCTGTGCCTCTAAGTGAGGGCTGGTGTGTAGGAGGTGCTCAATTAAATATTCATTGAATAAATGATCAATGCCTAGAGATAATTATTAAAATTTTAACTTAGTACCGTCCAGTTTCCCCCCCTCTATTTTTTCTGTACAGTTGAAATCATACTATATATAAATTTGCACATATGACATGTTTTTCCACATGATTATATCCTAAGTATGTTACCATGGCAGTGGAAACTCTTCATTAACTTTATTTTTTTTAAATTATCTTGGTTAATTCTCTCTTGAGGATAGAGTGGAAGGGAGGATGAGAGACAGAGAGAGAAAAACATCAATGTGAGAGACACAGAGATTGGTTGCCTCCTGAACACACTCCAACCAGGGCCAGTGATCGAGCCTGCAACTGAGGTACGAGCCCTTGACCGGAATCGAACCCGGGACCCTTCAGTCCACAGGCCAACACTCTATCCACTGAGCCAAACCAACCAGGGCTCATATGTAATGTAATGCCACATAGTTTACTTGTTTCCATAAGAAAGTCTTTTGTTACAGTGACTGATTTTTTTTATGGTAACCCCACAATAAGAAATATGTTACATATAGGACACACATGTACACATGTGTGTGCTGATTGTCTATCCACCTTTCATGATGGTAGAGATTTGTCTGTTTTATTCATGGCTATAACCCCAGTGCCTAGATATGGCCTGCCACATAGTAGACACTGAGTGTTCAATGAATGAGTAAATGAATGATTATAAAAGGCAAAAAGGAAGGTTTACCAAACAATATGTGCAATTGCTGTGTGGGATGCACTCTGATATATATTTTTTCCCACTCTGATATTTACTCATTCAATGTTCTCTTCCAATTGAGGAACTATTTTCTACTCAAATTCTGATCATGACCCTCTAAATTGATTTCATGCCTACTTATGGGACATGATCCATAGTCTGAAAAACTTTTTGTTTCTAGGTTTTCACAATTGTAAATAAAATCGTGGCTTTTGATTACCTCTCAGATTTTGTCCTTGAGAGGCAAGAGGAATTACTATGAGTCAAAGGCCATGTACCTGTTTAAGGCTCTTGGTACAAATTGCCAAAAATTGCTAGAAAGATTGTTATATTCCCATCAGTCGTGTATCAGAATTTTGTTGACCTGAGTGTTTTTTAATGCTGCTTCTGCTTTTCCAAAAACCTGGTTTTATATAGGAAAACACATTTTCTGGGCTGTATATTTACATTGTTATGGGAAAGAATGAGGTAAATCAGCATCACAGTCCTCACCTCTTTTCATGTCTAGTGCTCTATGTCATACCTCATGAGATTGTGTTTGTATCACAGTACCTTCTTGTGTTCTTTGCAGATTCAGGAATTGTGGGGCTTCAGCCCATAGACTTTATCCCAAATGCTCCCCATGATGCTGTAGATGGGAGACAAGAGGAGGTTCCTGTGGTCATTGCTGCATCTGAAGATAGGCTCGGGGGGACCATTGCAGCCATAAACAGCATTCAGCACAACACTCGCTCCAATGTCATTTTCTACATTGTTACGCTCAATCATACAGCAGACCATCTCCGGTGAGCTCTGCTTGCCTGATGATTCTTCTAGAAAATGCTTTGAGTATATATTTTCTCTATACAATTGAGATTATATCACATATAAATTGCACATGACAAGTTTTCCCAGGTGATTATATCATAAGCATGTCCCCACGAAACATGTAAGGAACTTTTACTAAGATGTAAATCAACTGAGTCACTATGTACACTGTTAACTCAATGTGGTATTTTTTTAGTTATAAATTTTCTCAGTGCAGGAAGTAATATGCTGATTTACGTTCTGTTACAAGTTTCTTATCTCATGAAACATACTCTGAGTATCTCTGGTCTAGAGTAGGAAAGGATGTGGGAGCGATGGCAAGGTAGTGTGAAGTGAGCACAGGCACTGATACAAATTCTGGCCCAGAGTGATTGGGGAACAGTACCTAATTCTTTGGAACCCTCATCTGTAAATATGGGATGAAAATATTCAACTTAGAGGATTATTGTGTCAAATAAATGAGAAAATATATAAAAAAAACACCTAGTACGTAATCGCTCAGTGAATGGTTATTTACTATTATAGTGATTAATAGAAACCCAATCTGAGGGACAGTCTCATCCATGCTTTGAAAATGCTTTGAATTAAGGTTTCAAAATTTATTCCAAGAAACATCTGGTCTAACACGTTAATAGTTGTCTGAGTTCTAAAACATTTCTGTCCTTTTGGCTTTCTCCATGTTTCATGTTTTGTGCAAATTATTTTTCGATTTTAAAAACTCAGAACCATCTAAAATAATGTAGAAACAAATAGACTACACAGATAACATTGTGTCCACAAAATGCTGAATTGAAGTGGACCTAGGAGAAGCATGCAGTACTTTTCTCACAGGCAGAATTCTCGGGTGGAAGAATTATGTAGTCATCACAGTGAATTACTGTCTGTAGATTAGCTAATTACCAGCTTTGTTGATAATTACTTTTTACTACCATCCTACTTTGACTCATTTTCTTCACCTATGTATTTGATCCATGTGGTGATCGGATGTTCTCAATTCCATAGGGAGTTCTTCTACAGTAGTTTAGTTTCAGAAGAGTGATAAAAAATGTGAGCCTGCTGGGAGAATCTTGGCTCAGGGAGGGACTTTGGTGGGAATAGTCTTCAGATGTGGAAACCGAGGCTCAGAGAAGTGAAGAGGTTGAAAGCACCTATTTGGTCCCTAGGGTTTCCCCTCGATGGCACAAAAAGATAAGGCTGTGGTTTTGGGACATTATTTAAAACTGAAATTTTGGCACTTCATTTTCATTAGGTCTTGGCTCAGCAGCAGTACTCTGAAAAGCATCAGGTACAAAATTGTGAATTTTGACACTAAACTTTTGGAAGGGAAAATAAAGGAGGAACCTGACCAGGGGGAATCCGTAAAACCAGTGAGTTCCATTCATCTTTGTATATGAGAGTCTTAGGAAATAATTGAATATGTGGGTAACTGTGGGTACAGTGCAAGCAGTTTCCTTGGACCAAGCCTGGGCAATTCTAAGTGACCTTTGGCTGTCTTTGGCATAGGTACTGAGAGCATTCTGGGGGATTCTAGTAAATGAAATAGGCACACAGCCATTTGGTGAGTCCTATGTCAACGCCTCTCCTTTTTCTTCCCCAGTTAACCTTTGCAAGGTTCTACTTGCCTATTCTGGTTCCCAGCGCAAAGAAGGCTATATATATGGATGATGATGTAATTGTTCAAGGTACCAAAGGATGTCACTCAGTGCTGTTTTGTCTAGAGTGTGGGCTGTAGTGGTTGTCTTATTTATGGTATCCTATTAAGGTCATCCTAGGACAGTGATGGCGAACCTTTTGAGCTCGGCGTGTCAGCATTTTGACTAGTGCCGTGTCACATATAGAAATTTTTTGATATTTGCAACCATAGTAAAAAAAAAAGATTTATATTTTTGATATTTTATATATTTAAATGCAATTTAACAAAGAAAAATCAAAAAAATGAGTTCATGTGTCACCTCTGACATGCGTGTCATAGGTTCGCCATCACGGTCCTAGGAAGAAGTGGGAGGAATAGGGAATCTTGAGACAACTAGTAATATAAATCTTGTACCTTATCCATTTCAGGTGATATCCTTGCGCTCTACAATACACCACTGAAGCCAGGACATGCAGCTGCATTTTCAGAAGATTGTGATTCAGTCTCTACTAAAGTTGTCATTCGTGGAGCAGGGAACCAGGTAAATTTCTTATTAGAACCCTTGTAAACACTCCCCTATAAAGCAGGTTAATGGGGAGAGGCAGCAAACTCTGGGAACTCTTCTTTTTGTTGCTGTATTTTATATTCCCTAATTATTCCTAATTATTTCAAGCCTGTTTTCCTATAGATTGGTTCATGGCCTTGACAACCTAATTCTCCTTGAACAACTGACTTATTATTTCTAGTTTCCTATTCTGCCTAACTTAGAATCCCAAATGTCACTTTTATTTGCTTTATATGTAGAGTCCTTTGTAATAATCTGAGAAATCAATAGGTTTTAAATACGCAGCTCTTCTCTTTACTGGCTGTCAAATTATAGCCATGTGCTGCATAACTGTTTCATATATCCAGCAGTGGTCCCAAAAGATAATGGAAAAATTTCTAGTGCCTAGTGAGCTCATAGTTATCTTAATGTTAAAGCACAATGTATTATGTGTTCATGGTGATGCTGATAAACAAACCTACCATGCACATTATAAGTATAGCACAATTATGAACAATATATAATACTTGATAATAAACAACTTTATTATTGGTTTATGTACTTACTATACTACTTGTCATTATACTTGTTCTACTAATAAAAATGTTTGCTGCCCTGGCCAGTGTGGCTCAGTTGGTTGGGCATTGTCCTGAGCACTGAAATGTTACAGGTTTGATTCCAGGTTTTGGGCTCCATCCCCAGTAGGGGGTATGCAGGAGGCAGTCAATCTACGCTTTCTCTCTTCCTTCCTCTCTATAAAAATAAAAAGATTTGCTGTAAAATACGTCATTACACCTGCAATAGCCTCATACATCTCGTTTACTGTGTCATTTTTAATTTTAGAGAGAGGGAGGGAGGAAACATCAGTGTAGGAGTGGAACATTGATAGGCTGCCTCCTGCACCGCCCTATCAGGGATTGAGCCTGTAATCCTGAGCATGTGCCCTGACCCAAAGTCAAACAGGCAACCTTTTGGAGCTCCAGTTGACACCAACCAATTGAGCCACACCAACCAGGACAACTGCATCATTTTCTCTTGTGCTTGATTTAATCTTGTATTGTTTTGTATAGTAACATGCTGTATAGGCTTGAGGCATGGGAGCATTAGGCTATATACACAGCCTAGGTGTGAAGTAGGCCACTTCATCTAGGTTTGTGATAAGTGCATGCTATAATGTTCACACAATTTCGCCCAACAAGGTATTTCTCAGAACATATCTATATCTGTAAGCAGTGCATGGCTGTATATATTTACTGTTTGAAGCAGTGAACACACTATATATATCCCATTTGTTTTTAGTACAATTACATTGGATATCTTGACTATAAAAAGGAAAGAATCCGTAAGCTTTCCATGAAAGCCAGCACCTGCTCATTTAATCCTGGAGTTTTTGTTGCAAACCTGACAGAATGGAAAAGACAGAATATAACTAACCAGCTGGAAAAATGGATGAAACTCAATGTAGAGTAAGTATGAAACCACCCTAGCTGTATTTCAACAGGAATTAGTCATGATTCTTCACTAACAGCTTACATTTATCTGTCCCAAGAGAGGGACTGTACAGCAGAACACTGGCTGGCAGCATCACAACACCTCCTCTGCTGATCGTATTTTATCAACAGCACTCCACCATCGACCCAATGTGGAATGTCCGCCACCTTGGTAAGTAGAATAATAAAACAAAAGGCCTAAGCTAATAAAAAAAACTAAGTATCTAAAGGACTATCCTCAGGGATGGAATATATTGTTTCCTTTTAAGTTTTCTCCAGTTTGATATGGCATTGTCATGTCTGACCAGTACAATCATTTGGCTCTTTTTCTCTCAACATAAGGCTCCAGTGCTGGAAAACGATACTCACCCCAGTTTGTAAAAGCTGCCAAATTACTCCATTGGAATGGGCACTTTAAGCCATGGGGAAGAACTGCTTCATTTACTGATGTCTGGGAAAAATGGTATATTCCTGACCCAACAGGCAAATTCAGCCTTATCAGAAGACATACAGAGATCTCAAACATAAAGTAAAACATAATTTATGCTATTAAGCATTTCTCAGGAAATCCTGGAAGATAGTATGTGTGGGAAGTAATTGTGGCAACCCATGGGAAAAGGAACATTTCAAGTGGGACAAGAGGACACGTGGCACTGTCTGCTTCCCTGATAGACTACGCGTATCTCCACCTGCCTTACCAAGTGTTGGCTTACTACAGCACTGAATTACCAGAGGTGAATGGACTGATAACAGCTGGTACAGCTAGTTCAGCACTGCTGCTTAGTTTTACATTTGTAACCTGTGGCCTGATCTATAAATAAAGTGAAACCTACATTTTTCAGTAGGTATCGAACTTTTTGCATCCAGGTAAATAATTCTACCCATTCAGTGTACAAGAGATGAACTGTCTATGGAATTCAGACACTTTCTACATTGCCTGATTTTTTTAAATGACTATATTATGACACATATTTACAAAATTTACACAGCTTGTCATACCAGAAACAAACTGGTATATCATACACATAGAACAGTTTGTTCAAATTGTAAAAAACACAAAAAACTCCTAAGAGGACAAAGTTACATTATACATAGTCTGTACTGAAGTTGTAAGCATCATCTTCCTCTTCAGATATCCTATCCAAGACAGAAGATTGTGCAGACTGTTCATCTGTATTAGAGAAAAGAAAAGTGAGGGGGTTTTTTTGTTGTTTTTTTTTAAGTAAAAGCAATTCAATGGATTTTTATAAGACCCCTTCTCCCCCCACCTAACTCACCTGCCCGGGCCTCTTTAGCAGGGGACGTGATAGAGCTATTTCCCTGTGGGACAAAGAGAAGCAGTGCTGTATTAGTAGCCCCTGTGCTGCTTATTAATCTAAATAATTATGTACCTGGAAAGTCTCTAAAGATACACATAACGGAATCAACAAAACAGACTAATACCTGGAAGACTTAAACACCTAAATTGGGGCTTTGTTGTAATCTATTATGAAATACGTAATTATATCTTTAGCCCCTTCTCATTTGTTGTACATTATAATATTGGAAAACTTAATTCAGCTTAAACAACTCATGAACAACATACTTACCTCAGCTTCTTCAACACTTTCCTGGTCATTATTGATGTCTTCTAAGTCCTCCTTCTCTTCCTGCTTCCTTTCTTTCTGTTTTGGCAATTCTTCAACTATGTCCTCTTCCTCTGTTATTCCATTTGTCAGACCCGAGGACTGGAAAAGGATGCTACTGGCTAAATGAGGGCCCCTGATGGCTAGGAAAGGAACACAGCACATATCAACAGATGAGACCTTTATTGGCCTTTCAGCTGATGAAAAGAACAGTCAAACCCATGCCTTGCTGCCCTAGCCGGTTTGGTTCAGTGGATAGAGTGTCAGCCTGCGGACTAAAGCAGCGGTCACCAATCAGCGGATCATGGACCACTGGTGGTCCATGAGGTCCAAAAGGTTGGCGACCGCTGGACTAAAGGGTCCTGGGTTTATTAATTCCAGTCGGGCACATGTCCGGGGTGTGGGCTTTATCCCCAGTAGGGGGCGTGCAGGAGGCAGCTGATCACTGATTCTCATTGATGTTTCTCTCCCTCTCCCTTCCTCTCTGAAATCAAAATATGTTAAAACAAAACAAAGCCTTGCTTACCTTGTATGCTGTGTGCATTATTCTTTTCTAGTTCTTCCAGATTCAAACCCAATTTCATGTCTGTCACAATGTTTTCATTAAAATGTGGAGAAAGAGTCCACGATGGAGGGGGATGGCAATAGTATCCTAAAGAGCCACTGGTATTAAAAACAAGACTTGTCAAAAACCAGTTCCTTTATTCTATGTGGTCATCAAATGCCTACAAAGAAGCCTTACCCTGTCCACTGAGACCACAGCAGTTTGGCAGCACCTTCTACATTTGGGCTTCCACCTTTTTGGTGCAGTCCTCTTCTCTGAGCAAGCAAAGTAAAAAATTCTGAAGAGTTCTTAAAGTCTGGGACAGTGAATTTCAGTACTACCTTAAAAGAAAAACAAACTGTCATTTGATATAGTACGGTTATTAAAAAAAAAAGATTTTCTACTTAAAATGTGCATGAAGAGAGAACGGAGCTCAAGGGAAGGGATTCTACCTGTCGAGTGTCAGCCTGGGACAGGATGGCACTGGCAGCTTCCACTGGTCTTAGTACTTCAATACTTGCTGGACTTCTCAGAGCAAGTGCGGCGGGAGAGTTAAGTGGAGACACAATGAAACTCGGACTATCTATGATTGTGATTTGTTTGTCCAGAGGGACAACCTGCATGCTCCTGGAATAAGATATGGTAATTGATGAGGGTGCTACTTTACCCGAAGGACAAAAGACAGAACATGAAGCTCAGGGTTGGATTGAACAAACTCAGCATAGTCTGTCAGATCCAGTTTATCATCATTTGCTTCATGTGTATCTAAATAAAACCATACTGCTCTCCTCCCAAAGAGAAACACTACATGTTATAGCTTACATATTGACCTGAACACATGCTGCTTCCTCTGCCATAAATACACACCACCTTCTATCTGGCAGACTTCCATTTGCTTCAAGGCCAGGTTAAAGAACCATCTCCTCTGAAGGCGCTTTCCCCACTCTGAATCTATTTGCTTATTTGTCTCTCAAACCAGATCATGGGCAGTTATTCCATTTCAATTCTTCCCCAAGCTTAACCTTTCACCTTTATAAGAATGGAAAATTGTCTTCCTTTAAGATACCCAAAACAAAATTATATTTACTCATCTATATGAAATATTACAATTATGGAACAACTCCGTTTACCTTGTAAGTCCCATGGATACACCGACATTACATATCTGTTCTTGTTTTAAGCAGTTGATGAGGCTGCTTTTCCCCACATTTGGGAAACCTACAAATGGTAAATTTACAGATTAAAAGTCATTGTGTTGGCAATTATAACATTCCCATTGCTTTGTTTTATGCTTGCTTTATGTTTAGAGCAAGATCAGAGTTGGATCTGAGTGTCTTCACTTTAACACTAAGACCAATTTTAGCATCCTCATTTCTTGCACAAGTAATGAGAGGGCAGGAAAAGATGATTCATTTAAATACACCCAGAGCTTTAAAAAGCCAACTTCCTACAGTGCCCAGTTGGGAAAAAAATGAATTAGGCAGCAATTACATAAAAATTTGTGTTTACATTGTGTGTGTGGTAAGGTGGGCAACAGGCTAGTGTTTAAACAAGTCCTTTATTTAGCAAGACCCCCATATACCCTTAACAGAAAAATTCTTGGCAGGTAAGAGATCAAGACATAAAATGTAACTCACCAATTACTCCAACCTGAATAGCTTTGCCATAAATCTCTTGAAAATCTCTAAGAAGTTTCCAAAGGCCTTCTTTCCCAACACAGATTTCACTTTTGAATGGAATGTTCCTCCTTACCTTCACGTTAAAATTGCAAATAATTAGTTTAACTACTTTTGACAACCTACCATATAAAAACCAAAAACCTGGCTCCAAATACCAGCCATTAAATCACCATATTCTACTGCCTTTCAGATTATCTCTGGATGAAATCAGAGTTGGATCTTATATGTTCTCATTATTTAAATCAAGATTTTGTATACTCATCATATTTCAGCCATCCAAAATCTGAAAGCAGCACACTTCCCACGAATGACAGTAAAGGGTACCTTGATTATCTTTTTTTTGTTCTTCAGATTTGTTGAGGCTCTGAACACGACTGTGGGCAATTCCTTCTTCAAATAATTTACCCAGTTCTCCAAATTCTCCTTTGGTACCAAATCTGATAGTGATTAGAAATAAGACACACAAGTTCCAATTTGGTCATTCCATTGAGATGAATTTGCAAATCCGATAAACTATGGATATCACCCTGGTTTGCCTTTTCCCAGTTTTTTTCTTTCAGAAGATTTAAATGAAGATGGGGAAAGGTAAGCTCTCCAGCATACTGCCCTTATCTTCACAGTTCAGTATGTATACTTCTGTATTTTTTCAATTCTCCTCTGTACTGCACACCCTCTCAAGATTAAGCCAACCTATAGATTATTACCCTAACCCTAGGGCTTTATTCCCTGATTTACTGGTCAGATAGCAGTCATGTTTACTGACCACACAGTAACCGTAGATCCCATTATTATTCTCTGCTTCACAGGTCTCTCTTCTAGATTTTCCTGTTCCTGCTGCTCAAACCCAGGCATAGTTAACTATGGATTTCATCTAAACATTGTCACCTATCAACACTGTGCAGGTGTGGAGAACCTGACAGAGAGCCATCACTTCCTATATGAAATACACTGCATAGTAAGCTGAGTATAGAAGTTTGTACTCTTAAGACCAAGTTCTAAGTATTGAGTAACAACAAAACCAAACCAGCAGAAGCCAGTCAAACCACTTGTAGAAAACACCACCCCTCTGCCCAATACTGGTCTTTGGCAACAAGAGAGCAAATGCACTAGCTTTGTTGAGGTCAGAGTTGGATCTTATCAGTCGTCAGGGAAAGTCAGACTGTTCAGATGTTTTCCTCATACCTCACTAGTGCACATGAAACATGAAGGGCATTCCTTTTGCTCACCTGATTTATTTAACACAAGTACCAGCCTTTTCTGTCCGCCCTGGACAATGGCCTTTTCCACCTGAGGACACCTGCAACCAAGAGGATCTCTGGCATCCAACACTTCCAGCACAACATCTGAGGCTTCAATCACCTGTCAAGGTAGAAATTATCAGGGAACTCCTACACACAAGTACACTGGCCCTGTCCACTTTGCAACAGGGAGAGCTCAGAGTTGGATCTCATTTCTTCACTTTGGCATGAAGAATGGTCACGCTCATCATTTCTCACAAGAAAGGTAACACAGGTGTGCTCAGCCTCTTGCCTCTCAACAGATTTTAAAAATGGAAACACCCCCACTGTCTGAATATAGCATCTCCCCATAGTTAGATAAGTTCTTGTGGCCTTGCCAAGAGCTGCTGAGAAGCTTGGTCAAGCTCTATTACAGAGGAGAGTGAGCTTGGGAAAACAGGTGTTGTGGGTGGTCACGCTGGGGAGCAACTATACCAAGATGCTTTAAAATATTTCATTATTTTAATGTATTTTGCAGTTTTAAAAACCACTGTGTCAATTAACACAAAAGTATCACTTTTGTAAATCATGCTTTTGAGAACTGTGCCTGTGCAAAAATTTAAAACCACAAGAATGTTTTCATCAGCTAAACATAACAGAAAGGCCCTAAATAGGATAAACCAACTTGCTTCAGCTCTTGTGAATGGCTTCTTCCAGCTCAAGTGAACTCTACTTCATCTTTACTAGTACAAGGTTGGTCAGAAAAAAAGGAATGACTCTAGTCTTTTAAACCTCAATACCATTTTTAGAAAGACATAAGGTACCTTTTTAAGTTCCTGACAATACAACTTCTTTGGATTCTGTTTAGCCAGCTTGGCTTTCTTAGCTTTGCGTTGCCCAAATTCCTAAAGGATAAAGACAAAGGAAAAAGGATACAAAATTAGAAAATCAGCAGTTGTAACTGGTTTCTCTATTTTCCATGGCTGATAAGGGGTACTACAGTTGACATTTAAATAGGTAATACAGAGTCTGAACTCGATCCTGTTCTTCCCAAGAGGCACAGCAACTCCTGTTTATGTTCTTTTTCTTCTACATCAGAACTCATCTCTCATTCAGAGACTTGATCGTACCTCCTTCACAGATGGCTCAACATCAAGGCTAGCTTCACATTTCCTTTTCTTTTCCTGTTCCTTCTGCCTGTCAAGTTTCTGCTGCTGTTTTAGTTCTTCAAGCTGTGCCAAAGCCATAAGAGAAATGGGTAAGCCAAAGTGACATGGTGGTATTACTTTACTTCAAAAATAAAAAAATACACATCACTTGCTGAAAATTTCAGCTAACGTATCTTACCTGTTGTTTCCTTAGCTCAGCTTCCCGAAGAAGGGCCTCCTTAAAGGGAGCACTGTTTGGAACTCCTGGATCTTTCCTAGGTTTCTTGTGACCCCGTTTCTTAGCCTCCTTCCTCAATTTTCGATGGTGCTCTCGAACCTAATATGATAAAAAACAAATTTATCAGTTTACAAAAATACTAAACAGAATTCTTGTGAGAAATTAATCTAGCTATAGTTTAGTTTACCTGTAAAATGACAGAAAAATAGAACTTTAGTTGTAATCATACAGAGAGTTGCCTATTTATGTATAAAACAGCAAGAAAATGTCACTGTGTCCTGGCTGATGTGGCTCAGTTGAATGAGCATCCTCCCATGCACCAAAAGGTCACCAGTTTGGTTCCTGGTCAGGGCCCATGCCCAGTAGGGAGCGAGCAGGAGGCAGCTGATTGATGCTCACATTTATTTTTTTCTCTCTCTCTCCCCCTAATAAATTTTAAATACCCTACACCAGCAGTCGCCAACCGGTGGTCCGCAAGGTCCGAAAGGTTGGCAACCGCTGCTCTACACAACATATTTAAGAAAATGTCACTGGGAGATTCTCTTTTGTAAAGGTTAACATGTTGACCAAAGTTTACAGACTTTATCATTGAATTACTGCACTTTCCCACAGCTGCACTCTTGATGCCTAAGAGGTTGTGCTGCCCAGTATCTCAGTTGGTTAGGGTGTTGTCTGGATATGCCAAGGTTGCTGATTGGA